GGTGTGGGTGCGAGTGGGTGTGGGTGGGTGTGAATGTGGGTATGGATGTGCGCGAGGTGTGGGTGGGGATGTGGGTGGATGTGGCATTTTCTTCATCTACACCCACACCCACAAACACACCCACACCCTGAACAAGAAAAAAAACCGTCTCAGGTTTCGTAATATTGATATCGATTTTTTTCTCCTAGGAAGCAGAATCTTTCACAAGAAAATAAAGACTACGATCAAAAAAGAAAAAAACTTTGTTATCTGTATGCAGAAGATAAGCAAAGCATTTATCAGAAGATTCGAGTCGAAGCAGTTAGTTTTATGATGATGACAGTGAGAGTAACAATGTAGAGTCTTCATTCTCGAGATGCTTTTCTAATTTTTTTCTAATTTTAACGTCTTTTCTATATATTTCTTTAACGAAAAACTAAGTTTATAAATTAATCGATACAATACTCACTATTGATTTTTATTCTCCTTTTTTCAGATTATATCGCGCACTCAAAACGACTCGTATCGATTGATACATTCAAATGGAAAATTCACATCTAATCAATCTACCTGTCGAAATACTTCATCATATATTTCATTATTGTGATGTTCGAACGATTGCATTCAAAATTGGTCGTGTTTGCAAAAGACTTCGTACTGTTGCCTATCGATATAGTCGATTTCAACTTACATTTCATTATGGGGATAATGCAATGTTTATAGAACATATGTTGCATCTCATTCCCAATGATTCTATCGTTTCTTTGATATTAACAGATTTATACACAAAGTTTCAGGCATTTCTTGACATCGTTCATAAGTCTAATGTTATTTTTACACGAATTCGACATTTGACCCTTAATAATGTGAGAGATGATGCCTTGGAAAATTTTTTTGCAAATATAAATTACATACAACCGATTTCACTCACAATCGATTCTCATTGGCCACCAAAGTCTGCAAATCTTTCTAAGTTTTCAACATGGATTATGAATACAAATCTTCAAAAACTGTGCTGGAAACAATTAGATTACAACACCAACGACATGTCATGGGTTGATCAATGTAAATTGACGCATTTGACAATAAATAGTTGTCTCTATAGTGAATATCGTATTCTGCTTCATCGATTACCATATTTAAAAACACTTCAATTGAACAACTGTACAATGGATACTGAAGATATGTGCATACCATCATCCATTGTCTCATTCGATTCACAATTAACATACCTAATCATTAATGATTGTTTAGTACCAGTAGAATGTCTTATGTTCTTGATTTCTAAAATACCTCAACTTCGTCATCTGAAGTTAGTTTCTTATGCAAAAATGATCCAATCTGTTGCTGATATTTATCAATGGGAGAAATTTATTCGAACTGAAATGAATTTTCTCCATACATGTGAATTTTTAGTCTCCTACGAAATGTCATCAGACGATGTGGTTAGTCTTCCTTCACTTCTTGCACCATTTCAAGAACCATTTTGGGTGCATGAAAAACGTTGGTTTATTGTTTGTGAATACGAATTAGGATTTTCAACAATTTCTCTTCATACAACATCAATGGATAGTAAAACTTTCTGCCGTTACCGTTGGGACAATGGAGGCTTTTCTAAAGTGTGCAGGATCGATAGTCCAAGAATCTTATATAAAGACAACATTTATCATTTCATTAAACGATCCAAGGAAGAATTTATCAATGTAAGTAATTATTTTAAAAAAATGTTGATTAAATTCAATTCTAAACATAATGCTTTATTACTACGAGTAGCGTTCGAGAGTGAGAGTTTGATTGAAAAACTAGCTATCCGGTATTCTATATGTTGGTCCTCATTACTGCCGAAAGACCCTCTTCGGACCGAGAAAATTGAGTGAGAATGTCCCATCACGCTTTGGTCTCTCGTCTACATACCTCATAAGACATTTTCATGAGCTGATTTTCTTTTAATCCTGCGGACACACAAGCAGGCAGACAATTTATGTTTCCAAGACTCTTCTCTATGAGAAAGAGAATGTTCATAATTCTTTCTGATATAGGACAATATATTTTGTTTAATCTATGCAGACATTCATTGAACTCGATCTCTCTCGCATGGATATCGATGATCGAGGTATGCAATATTTTGCTAACATCTTACAAAATAATCAGGTAATTTCTGAGCTTTTTTCTTCACAGTACCATGCTGCAGTTTTTTCGATTTTCGAAATCTAGACACTTGTTAAGATAAATTTCCAACACAATAAAATCGGACATGTTGGCATACAACATTTGATGGACGCGTTACAAAATAACACCGTAAATCTCATTCTCTTTTGAGATTTTGAACATCTTCTACTTTCAATTTCAACAGACATTGACGACATTCAATTTACAAGGGAATATTATTCACGATGAAGGAGTTTATCATATAGCTCATATGTTAGAAACTAACAAAGTTATTATTGTTACTCTTTTCTTACCAGTTTTATCATTGTTGTTTTTGTATGTAGACTCTTACTTTACTAGACATCAGAACGAACGGAATAGGAGATAAAGGATTGTGTTCGCTGTGTGGAACGCTACAAAAGAATATGGTGATCGTCTTCTTCTCTGTTTGTCGATTTTATACTTTTTTTAGACACTGAAAGAGCTTTACCTCGATGGCAACATGATTGGAGATGATGGTGCAAAATGTTTAGCACAAGTGTTACAAAATATAAATGTGATTACTCTTATTTCTTCGTCTTCTTTTCAAACATAATCGGTTATTCATTATGTCTAGGCGCTGAAAATAATCAGTCTTAAAAAAAATCAAATTGGAGATAAGGGTGCGCAATATCTAGCTTTAGCATTACGAAGCAATCATGTAATTTTCATTCTTCTTTATTGTCTATTCATTGTGTTTTTTAGACTCTTACAACGCTCGATCTCACTGGCAATAGAATTGGTATTCCTGGAGCAGAATATTTCTTTGAATCTTCACAATCAAACTCCATCAAAGTATTCCTAGAGGAAAATAGAGATTCTTGTCACCTAGTTGTTGAACCGGTAAGCCGAATCAAAAATGATCAGGTGACGTTGACTATTCTCTTCTTTCTAATTTTTATGCATTGTTCCTTTTCTTGTTAGTCATTGACGAAATTCTCGTTGAACAAAGTTTATTTTAACGATGTGACCGCCAAATATATTGCTGATGCTTTACAGAAAAATACAGTATTCATATTTTTTCATCGTTTCAATCTTCTCAATCATTTAATCTGCATTAAGACAATCAAAGAACTCGATCTAAGCTATAGTGGTATTGGTACAAAAGAAATAATCCATTTCGCTAATATTTTACGGGAAAATACAGTAAGCAAAACTACCTTTGTTATGATTATTGTGTATTTTTTTCTCGTTGATGCATAGATGTTGATCACATTGAATCTTAATAATAACTGTCTCAACGCAGATAGTGTTCAACATCTTGTGCAAGCATTGAAACATAATACTGTACATCTTATTTTTTCATGATCTCTCTTCAATTTATCTGCTTTTCTATAAACAGACACTGCGCACTTTGAATCTAAGTGATAATCATATCAGATGTGATGGAATTGAATATATAACTAAACTGTTAAAAACCAACAAAGTTAGTATCATTCTTGTCTTGATTTTCTTTATCTCGTATTTGTTTTATCATCGTACAAAGACACTTCTTACATTAGATATATCGAAGAACGAAATAGAGAAGAACGGCATACAATCCCTGTGCATAGCACTCGAAAAAAACCTGGTACTCTTTTGTTCTTCGAATATGATCACATAAGTTAAACACTCTCGTATAGACGATTTCTGAAATATTTTTCAATGGCAATGCAACTATTCCAAAGAACACACGATATATTAATAATCTATTGTGTACAAACACGGTAACTTTCTCTTCTACTCTTTTATTCGAACTTGTACAAATCCTTTGTTTCTTAAACAGACACTCAAAGCACTACGTCTAGATGCCAATCACTCCGATATACCTGAAATAAGAATACTCGTGGATGGATTAGAATGCAATACGGTTTGTAATGAAACATCAAATATCTCAGATCTTCATATTCACTTTTCATTGCAGACTATAAAAACATTAGATTCAAACAAAGCTTTCCTAAAAGAACACACATATTATGCGAAAGTTATTGAATCACAAACTCATCGAGTAAATATATAGTATTGAAAATGTCTCTTTCAACTTATATATAGACACTCATTACGTTGCAAATGAGATGGGTGCCAATCGCTGAAACAACAATGGATTCTCTTTTTTTCACCATTGCCAATCATCCAGTAATGTTCAAAAAGCATCGAATTATTTTTTTTCATCTGCAATATACAGACACTCACTACATTGAATATGAGACAGAGTCTTACATCAATCGGTGCATTAGATCATTTTGGTGATATTTTTAGAAATAACATGGTAAATCGCATTTATCGGTACTTTTTCTAATACACATAGTTGTCTATACATATAGACATTGACGACATTCTGCTTAGAAAAAAATTTCATTGGTGATCATGGTGCGCAAAATCTTGCCTCTGGGTTACGAGATAATATGGTAACACTCTGATATATACTAACAAGTATACAATCTACTACGTACATATAACACTTGTAGACACTCAAAACATTGATTCTATCCTCTACTCGAATCGGACCAACTGGTGCAAAGAGTCTTGCTGACGCTTTACAACATAATACAGTATTTCTCTATTTCGTTTCTATATTTCCATTTAATTCTCTCTTGATAGACATTAACTACATTTATTTTGAAAAACAATCAAATTGGAGTTGAAGGAACTGAATATCTTGCAAATATGTTGAAAATCAACAAAGTTCTTTTCATTATTCATTTCGATATCACATATTTGCTTTGTTCTTGATCAACAGACACTAGTAGAACTCGATCTAATAAATAATCAGATTGGCAATGGTGTAGTACAACTAATGGCTGATGTTCTACTTCATTCAAAAACACTTTTGAAACTAAATCTTAGCATGAATGAAATTGAAGTTCGTGGAGCTGAGTTCATTGCTAATGCATTACAGAACAACACAGTGAATATTATTTTATTCTTCTTGTTGATCCTTATCAACCGTCTGTTCCATCATTAGACACTTACTCGATTGAATCTAAGTAGAAATAAAATGTTAGCAGAAGGAGCACATTATCTTGCCAATGCATTGGAAGAAAATAAGGTTACTTTTGTTTCTCTTCAATGAACACATCTATTTTGATCATTTTTAGACACTTGAAGAAATGAATATTTCTTGTAATCGAATTGGAGATGATGGTTTAGAACATCTGAGAAAATCATTAGAGAAAAATACCGTACGTTGATTTTATTTGAGAATTCATATGTATTTAACATATTCGTGGCATAAAGACACTTATTGAACTGCACATCGGATCTAATGGCATTACGAATGCAATGTATAAAGAGAAGCTTTATTCTAATGATAATCTACGAGATTTAATGGTAATATTCATTTGCTTTTTATCTGTCTTTCATGTTTTCTTTTTTCATTTAGCATCTAATGCAATAATGTAGTTCATCTGAAGGTGATCTATCTTCTTCCAGTTTTGGATGGATATTAACTGAGAAAATCAATAAACTTTTTTCTGTTTGTGAAAAGATTATCATCCTTTTTATAGTGAAAATAGAAATATAATGAAAAAAAACATCTCAGCATTCATCTAACAGAGTTTATTTGTATATCGGAAGTTACTATACAAATCATAGATGATGCATTCTAAAGTCCCTCATCGATTCAGTTTCTTGCAGAGTTAAACTTTAAAAAAAAGACTGAATCAATCATCAAAACCTTGATTTGTGTTTCGCATCCTTTGTCATTTCAAAAATCGAAATTTTTCAAGGGAAACAACGATAGAAATTCCGATCGCAATTATTATAAAAATTTAAACTATTTTTTTCTCAGATATTTATGTTGCCAATACTTATAGGTAACAACGAGAAAATTTTACAAGCAGCCACGACCGGTTTCGTCCTTGCTTAAGGGACTCATCAGGTGGCTTGTTCATATTCATTATAACCCGAAGGCTACAACAAAAACCGAATATTCAACTCTTATATTAAATAAGAGAGAACCGGTATTAAGATGCATGAATAACAATATTCGGTTTTTGTTATAGCCTTCGGGTTATAATGAATATGAACAAGCCACCTGATGAGACCCTTAAGCAAGGTCGAAACCGGTCGTGGCTGCTTGTAAAATTTAAAACTAGCACACAAACACCCTTTAAATGTGCCATTCAGACTGAATCGAACGATCACAATTCTACACATACCTGATGAGACCCTTAAGCAAGGTCGAAACCGGTCATGGCTGCTAGTTCTTTATATGAATAGACTATCTGTTGTTTTTGGAATTAATATAAGTTAATATTGGAGGTTTTTCACCTTTAATTTTAAGTTATAATATTTTCATATATGCAGTTTTTAAATCAAACCACCTGATGAAGCTTTGAAATTAAGCCGAAACGCGTCGTGGTAGATCTTTTATATAACTCACCCTATTAATGTATGCTAGCCTATAGAACATTTTATAGTTTTCTTCATTTGTATTTTCTATTTATTGATCTAATTGTTCATCATTGAATATATATGTCATGTTGACGTTATAATGTCATCATTTTACAGAGGAATGAACAAGCAATATGTGCCAAATAGGAATTCTATTTAAGTACAAAATATTTGGGTGTTCAAGTGACATTGCTGCTGTTGTATAGAGGCATTATGCACAGTAGTAACTTGCCAAATGTTTCTTGATTATGCTATCTGTTCGTTACATCCATAGATGCTTATGAGAGGGAAATACAATATAAAAGATACAGAACAACACACGAATAGAACAGGAACGAAAACATAATATGATAATTGTGGCTTCTATTTTAGTAACTGTAGTACAGATGATCCGTGTGGTGTATAGTGAACTGTTTGAGGCCATCTTGAGGGTGTGGATGTAGGTATGATAAATGCTACATATGCACACCCACCCAAGTCCTTTTAGGATTTTTACTAGGACTCTATTTAGTTTCTATAGATAAAAATTCATTGGAACCAGAGATGGACTACCTGGCGAGGTTTCCTCATTAGTCAAACTTATTTCTTTACAAACAATTAAATTAGTGACAGAGATTATCAGCAATCTTCTCGTTATGAAACTGTTACATTAGCTGACAGTTTGATTGATAGCTGAAAGCAAATGAGTACTACTTCGATTTAGCTTATGCGGCGAAGCTCTTTGATTGTTTTTCCGAGATAACAGCATCTTTTCTTTGATTCATGGTTAATATTTCATCGAATTCTCGGTTAATAACGAAATGGAAATACGACTGATTGGTAGTTCATTCTAAAGAAGCAGATGTAAACAACAAATTGGTTATTGAAATCCGCATTGACAAATAATTACACAGTAACAGTGCATCAGTGTCTGATTTAGTTTTCATATGTATATATCAAAAGGAAAATTCTATACTTGAAAATTGCATTATATCAGCAGAATATCAACTTTTCTAGGCCCCGTCTGAGTTGTAAATGCTGAGTTATTTATTTTTCTATATTAACTCAGAAAAATCGCTGGCCATCAAATTATCCTTATTTATGCCTATTTTAAATCACAGCCAAAATAATGAAGAATGAAAGCTATATATTAAATCCTTTTCACACAAACAGCAACATTGATATACCAATAGAAACGTTCATTGATAAACGTTGAACAAAAATCACTTAACCTCATCTTCTTGAATTCATTGTACAATTACGTTTCACCTAAAAGTTGCATAAAACAAGATGAGTTCACACATTGAATGCTGTCACAGTGAGAATTGTGATTACGTCTTCCTCTATAAATATTTCAGCTGACTGACCCAAACAGTCAACATTAAAATGTTACAATCTTAATTCTTCTTTGCCACGTATTATTTATGTAAACACTCATCAACTTAGAACATCGAAATATTCTTGCTATACACCACCATCTCTTCGTCGAACTCTTTTATTAATATTTCTGATACCTTTCATCACATGAATTTATGCACTGTATCCTCTTCTAACTGACGTATTCTTCGCCTTCGCCTACAACAAACGTATAATAGATTATCTGTATTATGTATACTAGACAAAATATCTACAAAAACTTGCTTAGTCTCAGGACGGGTATCTATCAGTAGGGCCATTCTCATTAAATGCTAATCGATCAAGTTCGAAAGTAGGTTATTACGCCGGACTCCGTAGTCCTTATTATCAAAGACGATATTAGGTGGCTTGCTTAATTTTCCGTGATATTCTAGAATCTCAAGCTTCTTATTTTTAAACTTCAACATTTCCTCATCTCATAAATCTCTGTTTTCATGGCCATCCATTCTGAGCAGCGACTTGTCTATGCTTTATTCTTACATAATGGTATGTTTATCTTTATTTCATATTTTACTTTTCAATAAATATTATATCAGATATATCTGTTGTCCAGCAAATGTCCCTTCGGGACCATCGAGGTCAGAGGGTAAACGCCAAACATAAAACAAACATATTTGCTATCAATCGCATTGACAGACATGATCAGTACGACGAGCACGAATAGCAATATAAGCACATGTTGCACCAGGATGACGATGCCAACGCTTCTGATCAGTTATTTCATCAGATTCGTCACGCATCCAATGCTCCATAGCACCCTTTAAATCACCATCATAAGTCCAATCAGTGCATTTTCCACAACGAGGACAGGGATTGCCACCACAAGGGTGTTGTTTTGTCGTACCGGTTGTTTTTCTAATGCATGATCCCATTTCTAGATAGAAGTATTCAATTTTTAGAGTCCGTTCCAGTGAAATTACTGATGTATCTGTTATGGAAGATATGTTTGTGACAAGAAATTAAATATTACGTTGTGTAAAAAGTTCGTGCACCGTGTTAAAGTAATGATTTTTATATATTTTTTTTGTGTTTTTGATCTGGTTTTGTGGCTATTGTTAGCGACGACGAGTGTCTTCGCTATCGCTTCTCTTTTCTGCTATGCTCCATCTCACATTAGAGGCATTCTTTCTTTCCTCTTCATTCCATGTTCTGTCTTTCGAGAAAGAACGTTATCTTTGATACCA